CCACAACGATTACTGTTCCATGCATGGAGAAGAAAGGTTTATCTTAAACTGAAATTCACCGAGTACATATAGTCCGATTTTTGGGTAAAATATTTTACGCAAAAATGAGACATAAGCTTGCCACTAGCTCCACTATGAAAATCCTCGTCCTAGCGACATCCATTTTCGACCTCATATTGCCCAACAATCTACGTCACGTCACACAAGGTCGTAATAAGTAATACTTGGCCAAAAAGTATCACGGAGGACAAGGCAATAACTCAGATCATGCACAAAGCTCAAATTGAGTCGCTGCCCTCGTCCTATTGAGTGATTAAATGGCCAATTAACTATCGCGTGAAACTCCAGTATCAGAACAGAATCGGTAAAATGAAGTCCATTCAACATTGAAAGGGCATAGAATGGCATCCAATCGTTAATCCGAATTGGCGCACCTAGTAACGTTAGCGGTTGTACCAGTGCCGGGCGGTTTTGCACACCATGATCAGGTCATGTTAGCCTCGTACTAGTTAATTTACGCATGGCCACTCAGCAAAGTAGATTTACGACAGTAGGAAACTGAAATAGTGATCGGAAATTTTGCAGTGATTCACATATTGCTGGATGTTTTCATTCAACTTTCAAGCCGTTAAGCTTGTAAATGAACAGACTCGAAAAGAAGAGTTAGGCGATAGTAAGCGGTAAAGTTTTCACTACGCCCAATAGTCAGTTCAGTCCGCTGTACAGGCATGTGAATGTGAGCCTGGGAAGAAAGCGCAAAACTTGAGCCTGCAGCCTACACTAATGAGTAGGGTTTCAGGGGAAATCAGCCATATTTATTAGCGACGACTGACAGAACGAATTATAGAAGAAAAAATCCACTCACCAAAATACGGAGATTGGGAGAAGTTGGAGATTGAGGAAGACCAGCAAAGAGTCGAAAAAAGAGATCGACATTGTTGGCGTCGAGGAAGATCGGTCGCCATGCAGCAGGGAGTTGAACAGAGGCCATGTCGTCTGATGTGCAGGGACTTCCGCTACCGTTATCGCCGGCACAACCGATAGCTGTACCCACAAAGTCGTAATTCAGGCAGGCCAGAACAAGTGCCAGGGTGTGTTGAATCACTTGCAGCTAAAAGTAAAGGCGGTGACTGCAGCAGAACCGAAACGGCCTCCTCAGTTACCACATTAAAGAGAGCATTGCTATCTGAATAAATCTATAGAGGCAGTCAGACCTCTTTAAACTTTTACGATCTTACGACGCCTTCAGGAGCGAACGTTAAAGCTATATTAGCGGTAGTGATAATGCAAACTTGAGCTTTGATCAGATGAATATCACTAAAGAAGGTAATGCAATCATATCCTAATATACGGAGAGGTCGCGCCAACTTTTGTCAATCACTAGAAGCGCATGTTCTGATACAAGGTACCTCATAATCAAAGTGCTATGATGGTTGAATATCATATGATGATGTGCGAGTTAATTTAGTAAGCAATACTGCTTAGTGATGCTGGCAAATGGACGAAACTCAAACAGGCATTTGAGTAAAGAGGGGCATGCTTGCAAGAAATTTTAGATTCGCCTCACATCTTATGCTCTCCCTTTCCCTTAACATATACGAACAGAACGAAATGGTATGAATGACGTACTTGATCCTGGTCAATGGCCGTTAAGGACTTCAAATTGGCATCCGTCTGCCGAAGGAGATCGAGGCCCATTTGAAAGATAGAGAAGAGGACGAGGTCTCTAAACGACACCAAGAGTTTCCGCACGAAAAACGTAGCGCGAGCCAAATCCGTCTATGAAAAAAATTTTACCAAAATGCAAAACAATAACTCGAGGAGAGTCAAACAGCTAAAGAGCGAGAAATTCTACCACGATCAGAACGCACGACTTACCCGAGATGGTAACTGTAAAGCATTTCGACACTAGCAGGATGAATACTACCAACTTGTATTAATCTCTTCCATGTTCTTTCAGATATGCCTAACGGCAGAGAGGCTGTGCTAGGCGTAAGGACACGTGACTGCTGACGGTCCCTTGGGTGCTTACAACCGTAATGGGTCCTCAGTATTCACACAATAAGATTTGTAATTTATGGTATGAAGATTTGGCACCTTGATTAAATCCAACGAATCAACTTCAATTAATGCAAAGGATTTCAATAACAAACATTGCACGAAGCGTCTACATCAACAGGGAACTCAGAACTGAGTGTAATCAAGGAATGGATACCCAACTAGTAGCAGCCTAGAATAAAATTCAGTTCGCTATTTACGAGCCGCGTGGCATAGAAATAGTTTGGCGTGGAAAGTAAAAATTGTTTCTAAAGAACGCTGCCTTTGTCTCCTTTATCATATAGATGAATTCGAGACTTACCTCCGTTGATTGGCATATCTCAGTCACAAGACTCGATAGTAACTTGACACCAACCAAGATGGCACTGATTTGCCCGGACTAAAGCAAAAAATGACGTCAATAGGGCAAATAAGTGTTCGAGAGTGAAAGCATGGGTAATAGAACCACCTGGATGAAATTCTTCACAGATTCAAAAATGTCCCGAAAGGGATACTCAGGCCCATCCTCAGCCGAATCAAACCAGCCTATTTTTGTGAGACGACATATAAGTGCTATGAGAGCCTGTTGGACAATCGACTCAAGCCCTGGCCGTGTGGCTAGGTAATTCAGAGCGAAGTTACCTAAATTTCAGAGTTGTCAAATAAAAGCACAATAGAAGAACTTACGCAACTGAAGACGAAGACCAACATGAACCACAGTATCTCGATTGGAAATGTACTTGGTTAGCGTAGAGGCGGCAATAAACTGAGAATAGCAGGAGTCGCCACGCTCAAGGAGGCTCTTGCACGTGGCTATGCAGTCAGGGCGCTCACAGATGCCAGTGCACGTCTTCTCTGCTTGCACACGGACAGCCGGATCTCCAGTGGTATAAAGCTCTTTGCAAGCCCACTCAATCGAAGCCAGAGTCTGCAAATTAATTGAAGAGGGCAAAAAATTTCCAAGCCATTTAAACTTGTGTGTGTGAGTAACATTTCACAATCCGCTCATGCCTTCGTAAAAAGATAGCCATAGAAAGTAACATAACCAATCAATAACACTTCCTTTGTTGACAAATAACTACTACTACAAAAAACTACTATAACAAATAACTGCAGTAGAAGTAACAGCTAATGGTGGAACACGCAGAAAGTACATATTTATGAAAGTACAAAATAAGACAAGGTATCCATGACAAATGATACGCAAAGTGGCATGATATTCAAAGACACTTAAACTATATGATAGTATAAGAGAAGAGATTGTTTGTTTGCTTAAAACTGCGAATTACACACATCGCAATTGGAACTCATTAGAAGTATTGCCTGAAGCTATAGCACTAAGCGAATAACACTGATATTTAGCAAAGTATATTCAAGAATACAGAACCCTCATTGCTACTGAAACTAATGCAAACTTCTTAAGTATTTAATATGCACGGTAAAAATAACGCCGAAGCATCAGCAACTAGTTAGTTTAAGTCAGGTTAACAGATAGGGGGCATAGAAGACATTTTCATGGGAAAGCACTAGAATATGCAAAAAATAATGTAAGAAAGCAAATCGCCTCCTGGAAGCAAAACGATGAGGTAAAAAGACCAAGCTGATAAGCTAAGTAGAAAAATATTTCGTACGAAAATCTGCAGTTCTAGTGTAAAAATGTTAACGAAAATTAACGAAGAGGCGGCAAAATTTTGCGTACAATACATCATTTCATGCCACTTATCATTAAAAAGATTGGCACGCAGCAGATTTCGATTGAAATAAGAGATAAATCGCGAGGGCTCACATCCATCATGCATCCGATCGCGAGCAGTATTTACAATTACCGCGAGTGAGAGTTGACCAATTACCTCAACCGTAAAGGTTTT